AACTCGCTTACCATAGAATCTCTAGACCGAGTGTTATTTTTAGGTTCCTAGTTCCTTAATACTAGGTGGCGACTCCAAAGCTCTCTAAATAAACTTGTAAATATTAATCACAATTTTGAAATTTAATTTTTGGGAGTCTAGTCCGATGTCGGGTAACAACGGACAAGGTAGGGCGGCTTATGTTTCTCTAAGGTAAGATTGTTGTTAATTTCAAATAAAAAAAAATAAAGCATTTAATCAAACTCGAAATTCAAAAAAAGGGATCACATTTCCCCACATATCTTTCGAGCGGGATCGCCTAATAATAGATCATCATGCTAGGTAGGGTCGCCTCATAATAGATCATTCTTTTAGGCGGAATCGCCTAATAATAGATCATCTGTTTAGGTAGGGTCGCCTCACGGTAGACCATTCATTCAAGTAGGGTTGCCTCTCAATTGACCATTCTTTCAAGCAAGATCGTCTCATAATAGACTATTCATTCGGATAGGGCCACCTCTCGATTGACCATTCTTTCGGGCGGGGTCGCCTAATAATAGATCATTCATTCGGCTAGGATCACCTTTCAATTGATCATTTTTTCGGACGAGTCGCCTAATAATTGATCATTCACTTAAATAGGGTCACCTTATAATAGATCATTCTTTCAAGCAAGATTGCCTAATAATAGATCATTTGTTAGGTAGGCGGGGTCGCCTAATAGATCATTTAGGTAGGGTCGCCTCTCAATTGATCATTCTTTAAGGCGGGGTCGCCTAATAATTGACCATTCACTTAGGTGGGGTCGTCTCGTAATAGACCATTCTTTCGAGCGGAATCGTCTAATAATAGATCTTCATTTAGGCGGGGTCTCTTAATAATAGACCGATCATTTAGGTAGGGGTCGCCTCTCAATTGACCATCATCTTAGGCGGGGTCGCCTAATAATAGACCGATCATTTAGGTAGGGTCACCTCACGATAGATCATTCTTTCAAACAAGATCACCTTATAATATATCATTTATACAAGTAGGGTCGCCTCTCGATTAACCATTCTTTCGAGCGGGATCGCCTAATAATAGACCATTCATACGGGTAGGGTCGCCTCTCAATTGACCATTCTTTCGGTAGGATCGCCTAATAATAGATCATTCACTTAGATAGGGTCACCTCATAATAGATCATTCTTTCATGCGGGATCACCTAATAATAGATCATTTACTTTGGCATGGTCGCCTTATAATAGACCATCATTTCTAATAGGATCATTCAATAATAAATCATCATGTTTGGCAAGGTCGCTTTATAGTAGACCATCATCTTTGGCGGGATCATCCAATAATAGATCATCATTTTAGGCGGGATCACCTTACAATAGACCATTCTTTCGGGTAGGGTTGCCTCACAATGCACCATTGCATATTTAATTTCTAAGGTAGGTCGCTACTTTACAATAAAGTCACACATGACACGTTTAATTTTTTAGGGTAGGCTATACTTTATAACAAGGTCACGCACTGCATGTTTAATTTCTAGGATAGGTTGCCCTTTATAACAAGGTCACACATTTGCACGTTTAAATTTCTAGGGTAGGTCGCCCTTTACAATAAAGCGATGCATTACACGTTTAATTTTTAGGATAGGTCGCCACTTTACAACAAGGCCATGTATCGCATCTTTTATTTTTTATGTACTTTGTACTTAATTTTTCATGTACTCGCATATTTATTTTTCCGATAAAAAAAAATTCTTTAAAAGCTCACTAAACAAATCTATTCTAAAGTTCACACTTCGGCTAAAATTTGCGTCGTAAGCATTGTAAAAAGGGTGCAACTGTCATAACTAAATTTTTGGTCCCCTTAAAAAAAACAAAAAAGGAAAAAAAATATTAAATCTTCCTAAAATCATTCAAAAATCTGTTGAAATCTTCCACAAATCTTTTTTGAATTGGAATTTCCTTATTTTTAGCTAATCAAATCTCAAAATTAAGATTTGACAATTAAAATTTGAATTTGAATTGATTTTGGGAGAGATTTTAGGAGGTTTCGGCCTATAAAAAGCTTTCGATTCCAATTTGCATGGAGGGGGACAACCCAAAAAATAAAAAATAAAAGGGGGTAGCTAGAGAGCCAAAGAAAAAACACCGACAACCAAACCAAAAAAAAAAAAAAAAAGCCAAACACGCCCTAACCCATCGAACCATACCCGATTACCCATTTACCGAGTCGAAATTTTTGAGCCTCGATTGATTGTTTTCGAGTCGATTTAACCTCGATAAAACCACCCATGTGTAGCTCATCACTAGATCGGCCTATCCATACCGGTTAAAGAGAGAACCGATCACGGAGGCGAGAGAAATCAAAGATCAAACGTCGTTGACCCGACCCATAAATAGACCCGATTATTTCTCTCACTCCGGCCACCAACAAGAGATCAACGTCACATATTTGATCATCGATCTCCCTCGAGTGTTTCCATTTAAAAATCCCGACCCAAAGACATCAAAAAACGATTTAATTGGACTTAACCCGTTTCGACCCGTTTTGATAAACCCGATAAAATTGGCCGATCTAGAAGGCGTTGAAGGTCCTAACCACCACGGACATCTCTCTCTTGACTTCCCGAGTCGATCGGTGTGCTTAGAATCCCGAGAGGAGGTCGGATTCATCGTCGGTGAAGAAGGGAAATCCGACCGGACCTTTGGAGGCTCCGATCTCCCTCATCCGGCATCTTCTCCGGATGAAACCACCACCGTTGGACTCGCCATGACCGGATCTATAAGGTGGGGTGGTCCACGCGCCGAGAGGTCATCGGAAGACGAACGGTCACTTGGCGGTGGCCTTTAATATTTCGGGGGCATTTATGTAATTTCAATAAAAAGGTGAATTTTGGATTGTTTGCATCTGTTTATTCATTTTTTTATGTGTTTTATAATAATTTTTTTTCATATGCATATCCGAAAATCTAGAGATATTTAGTTGTGAAATTTATTTTAATACGTGATTTTTTTTATATGATTAAAATATTGGATCAACGAGTCTCCTATTTATTAAGGACGGACGGTGATTTCAATATATTTAATTTTTCAAAATTTATTTTAGTTGATTTTAGTTATTTAAAATCTTAGAGCTTTTTTTTTAAGAAAATAAAAAAAATAAAAATTATGTCTAAAATTTTCGACGAAGTCTCCTATATGATAGGAACCGACGTCACAAAAAAAAATAATCATTGTTTAAGCAAGATGTCCTCCGACACATCGGTTGTGTGAAGGCTTAAAGTGGATTCGATGTTTGAATCGACGTGTTGCCCGACGAAGGAGACCAACGATCGTTTTCATTCGATGCCACGCCCAAAACTAAAAAATTCAATTTATCTTTAAAAAAATGAGAGATTAAGAATAAAAAATAATTTGACATAAATAAAACATTTTAGGAGATAAATTCGGAGCTAAACCGGACGTTGTACCTTTCTTCGAAAATGATGCTTTTGGGTGATTGATATCTTCCCAAAAGGGTAACTAATTCCTTACCATAAAATCTACGAACCAGGTGTCCATTTTAGGTTTCTAATTCTTTCAATATTAAGTGGCGACTCCAAACTACGTAAATAAACTTGTAAATACCAATCTAATTTTAGATATTTTTGGAGAGTTCCGTCCGACGTCGAGTAACGACAGATCAATATATTTATTTATTATATGAAAAATATAGTAATTCAATTACTATTTAATAATACAGGAATAATTAAATTATAAAAAAAAACTTGCAATGGTTCAATCAACATGAAAGCAAACAACTTTATTTATACCGAAAGCCATTAGTTTTGGCCCTTCGATGTCCTCCTGACCAAGTGCACAAAAGATAATGCCAAAAGAGCAGACTTGCATATTGTGGACAGAGGAATCCCATATTTTCCTTTTGCAAGCAGCCCTTTCATAAATGGCCATAAGCATGTTACCACCAATATGCTACACAATATCTCTCCCAACCCTGAGCCATTGTTAACTGATGGTGGCATGTCTCGGAAGCCCACGACCAATGCCCATAATTGCAGCAGTAGAACGGTTGTCCCAGGCACAAAAATTGGTGAAGCATCGAAGGTAAACCTGCCTTCATCGCCACCATCATTTGAAGATTGGTATTTTTGTGTAACTTCAAAAACTGTCTCTGATATTCCTAAAATCTTCAAGAATACACTTATAAATCCAAATAACCATGCATTCATTGTATTTATTCTTGCCATCCTTTGGTTATTCCACCACGCACGGATTGACAAGCCAGTTTCAAGGTACTCTAATAGAGTGTTAATGACATAGCTCAGGAGAAGGGCCACATGAATGGATATGGCTGGCTCATTGACCTGCGTTCCCCCGTTTTAAAGTTTTAGAAGAATTAGTGCTAAATGGACTAGTTTATAAACTAAATATTAAAACTGAAAGAAGCACGAAGAATGACCATATCTGTATATTGATTCTATCTGTATATGTAAAAACTAAGAGTGGGTTGAATTTTTTTTTTAATATTTGGTACTTAAATTGTTTAACAATAAAAATAAAAATACTTTTAATTTTTTTCGTAGGAAACACTGTTCTTAAGACCTAATGCGGCGTGTGTTTATTTGTCAATTATAACATGTCATGTCAGATAAATTTAATAAAATTATAACGAAATCTTTAAACTAATAAATTTATAAAAATAAAAAATTTTAATTAAATTAAAAATATATAAGATATCTCAATAAAAAAAATTGAACTATACAACAAATAAAATTGGGCAAACCATTTTTTTTTTTGAGAATTCAGTATAATTTAACTGTATAAATATTGAATTTAAATAAAATAAAAGATTTAGTTTTATATGTAAATGAGATAAAATAACTATAATCTTTCGTTTTTAATATATGTGCATCTTTTTGTATTTGTCTTTTTTGTCAAAATAAATTTATAAAATAAATATTAATAATTATTTTTTTAGTATTTTAAAATTTCTGTATACAATCGGGCTTTTCTCTCATATCCATATTATTCTACGTTTTTTCTCTTGATTGCTTGCTTATTTATCGTTATGGGATGAAACGATTTTCATGCATAGAGACAAATCTAGACTTGGCAGTTAGGAGGCCACCACCAAATTTCATCACTATTATAGCCTGAATTTTGGACAGGAAGCCGGGTCACTAGATACTTCCATAATGTGGATAGTGAAAGAAAGACGTCTCTAGCTAGCTAGCTGTAAAGCATGTTGGTGATAGCTTCCGTGACTAGAAAGTCCTAACAAGACAATTTGCTGCCATAACATCAAATATATATGTCAACAAAGAACAACTGTGACGAAGTGAATGATTGATATAAATTAAAGAAATCGGAAAAGTACGTAAAGGGACCATTTAGGTGTTTTGCTCACCTTGGGCAGGAAACTCGAGTTGGTGACGATACAATAAGCTGGCAACACTCCGTAGCAAAGCTCAGGAATGGAGCGCAACCCCCAAATAAGGATCCAGAGATACGCCAAACACTGTCTAAACTGGAGTTTGGCAGTAATGGTGGTAATGATAGGGCTTTTCCTGCCGAACAATATTTCAAGCAAACCTGTCGCCCACCTCTTTTGTTGGGTCATCGAGATCGGTCCCCCCGATGGAGCACATCCCAAGAAGGCATGAGGATCTGGGGTGCAAAGAACGGACCTCCAACCCCTTGCATGGATCATTAATCCAGTGAGGACATCTTCTGTTGCCGATCCATATTGCCAACCCACCTGAGATAAAACTTGTCACCATCAATCATATCATGGGTAGGGGGAAAAAACACTTTTCAAAGCGTAAATTAATAATACTATTTAGCAATTAAACCCTCAATTTTTGTTAACCCTAACCTCTGTGCCCCAGCTAGTACCATGCTCGTAGCCATAGCCGGCAACTTGATGTGCTGCCTCGATTAAGTTTGGAAGATCTTTAGGACCAATATTTGCCTTCCCTTGTAATGCATAAGCAGCTGATCTGATAAAATCTTTTGAATTGCCAAATATTTTTGGTTGCCCCCTGTCCGTTAAATCACCTTGTTCACAAAAAAAGAAAAACATTTGTTACACAAATACGAGAAGAAAGGGTATGATGATAGTTGCAAGAGAAGAGAAGAAATTGCGACTATATGCTATGGATTACCATAAAGTGGAGTGAGACTTCTTGCTTGATCTCCTATGTCATCGGGACATGAACCATATATGACTTTTCTCCTGTGAAAACATCCTGTTCCTCCATAAAATGGTCCTTGAACTCCATTTATTCCACTCCCTATGTACTACTTAGTTTAACCATTCAAAGCCAAATGATCATTTGTTACTCTTCATAAATAAAGTACGAGAGAGAATTTTTGCAACTTCAATAATGGATAGGATTATGGACGCACTCACTTTGTGCAAAATTACGAACTGGTTTCCAAATGGATCATCCTTTAGTCCATCATAGAAGTATTGGGGAAATTGGACGAACCCACTTTCCCTTTCGTTCTTAGAATCAAGCAAGAGACACATTGCATGGCGAAGAGTCTCTGGATTGTTGACAAACATATCGCAGTCTACGTTTAACATGAATGGAGCATTTGATATCAATCCAGAGACTCTAGTCTGTTTATCATACAACAACAAATTCAATTAATTAAATTGTCACCATGACTATCCGAGTAAGTTAATTAACTAATAATAAGCTAGCATTTAATTGTGAGATCTAAAAATAGTACTAGGAAAAGCTCAAGTAGAGTTCGGGATGGTATCAATTTTTCTCTCTATATTTTTGCATTAACTTGCACTCAAACCATTTTGATTTCTCAATTAAGTATTTCTATTAAAATTATTGAACTAAAAACGTTATATTTGCTACAAAATGATGTTGTTTCTTACAACGAAAACTTATAATTTGGATGGAAAGCCTTAAAAATAATGAAAGTACTTAATTGAGAGTTTTTGAAAATTTAAGGGCACAATTGATAAAAAAAAAAAAAAACTTATTTGGATGTAAAATGGAGATTACTTGGGATATTTTTGAAGTCTGCAAAAAAAAAAAAAAAACTACTGTATAGTGTAGACAGTAGAATTACTTACTAGGACGTTCATGGCACCTGCTTTATAGTGATGTGGGTGCTTTGACCTCTTCTCTCTTGAAATGTAAACCAAATGCGGCAACACATCTGAAAGGCCAGCCTTATTCTCCCATATAACCTACAAAACGTTTGTCTGAAATTAACAAGGATTGCAAGTTCAAAATATGTGACATTAATTTTGTAGAAAAAAACCAAAATTACAACGTAAACAAGAGCATCAACATATAGAGAAAGCACCAAGAAACTAATAGTAAGCATCAATCAACAAATGCTTGGCAAGTGAAGTGATGACTTACCTTGATTATAGCGGGATGGTTTTTGCGCTCTATATTCGAGAAGGCGGCAAAATCACCGCTTAGATCCCACTCGGTGGATTTTTCGTTGGCAACCGATTCAATTTTGGAGGCAAGCTCTTCGTACTCATCCTACGAAACATCAAAACAAAAGTAGTTCAAACCTTTCGTAGTGAGTACATGTTCAACCACTCAAATTTGTTTTATTATCTTATCGACACTTGATATATTTTTTATTTTTTTTAAAAGTATGTATATATATATATATATAACTTTCGTAAGAGCATTAATTCCTAGGTGCAATGCATATTAAAATTGAGTTTTTTTTTCATATTTGAATTATGTATTTTAAAAATTTATTTTTATTTTTTGAGATTTTTTTATTTGAAACTTTTTATATTGTAAAACAAAAAATTTCGAAAAAAAAACTTATCATTAATTAGTAGCATTATAAAAAAAAATAAAATTAAAAATTTAGAAAAATAAAAATCTCAATCAAATAAAAAATAAATAAATGATTGTAATAAAAAATTAAAAAATACATGATAAAAATATTAAGAAAATCCTATTAAAAATTATATATATATATATGATTTTTGTTTTATATTTTTACATTCATGATTTTTCTTTTTTTCCTAAATCATTCCTATCATATTTACTTTAATGTGTTTTTCGATTTGTACATATAGCTCAATTAACTAAGTAGATAAAGTTATATGGTTAATGGATGGTGGATAATCTAGAAAAAAGAGGGGGGAAAATAGTACAGTAAAGAAGACAAATTCGAGACAGAATGAATCAATTCTCAAGTTGAAAATTACCTTCATCATGTTGTATTCTTGCTGGAATTCCAAGGAATTACAATTGCTGATTAAACTGAGCTCACTAGAAAAGTATCTAAAAGGAGCTCTAGATTGAATATTATACTTCTTGCAAAATGGAACCCAAAGCTTAGCAAACTTGGATGCTTCAACAAGAGAATAGTAGGTGATAGAGGAGCAACCATCATCGGATACATAGCAAGCTAGTTTATCGACTGGATAGTCAACTGCCAATAAGGATATGACTGTGTTTGCAGTGAGTATTGGCGGTTCCAGTACCGGGTCTGCTGTTGTAACAAATATATCCACAGGAGGAAGCTCTTGTGCCCTAGTAAATGTTCAAAGAAAAAAAAGACATCAATAAACTTCAGAACATGAATATATGCATGAAAGTGATTAGCATGACATTATTATAATTAAAAATGGCATGGTATTGTTTGTATATGAAAAAAGGGTGTTACTTTTGTGAAAGGTGTTCTGGGTATGTTTTGTATTCCACTGGATTCCATTTGGTACTGAGAGTGAGAACCCAGATGAAGGTAAAGCATGACTCGCATAGGAGAGCAAGAAGCCAAGCAAATCCATGGTTGCTGAGATAGAGAAGACGATAGATGAGGAGAGATATGAGAAGGACGAAGATAGTAACATCGAAGGTTCTGTGTATAGGGTATTTAAGAGCAACTTTGTCGTATAAATTGGGTGGGGGGATCGCATTGGCCATTGAAGATAGAGCTTGAGCTAAGGTAGGATTATGGACTTGTTATGTTTTGGTATGGAGTGTGTGACTGTGTATATGGTTGTGGCTATTTATTTACTTTTTCAAACGTACTCGTAATTGTTTTGAATTATAGGAGAGAGGTATGCATTCAGAATATTTTGAGAAAAATAAATGAATGAATGAAAAGAACATGGATGGCAATAGCTTAGGCGATATGAGTATGTACAGTCGTTACGAAAAAGAAGTCTTGAATTCAAATTTCTTCTTTATAAAAATAAAACCAAGAGTTCTTTTTGTGTTTGCCTCTTTGTGAGTCACATTTCTACAGAACTTGTCGTCAGTAGTATATGACATGCAGAATGAATGAGATCCGAGAGTCCGTGGGTCCAAGCTTTGTAAATAGAACCTTGAGCTCTATAAATAGAATTTTTTTTGTGTGCTTAAAAATAGAATATAATGAATTGTTTGCGTTTCTTGAGTGGCTGACTTATATAAATCAGCCACTCACGAAACGCAAACAATTCATTATATTCTATATCTATATATAAAGTCGTAAACTCACGGGTTTTGTTGGGAGTCTGAATTTCATGTCCTGTCACTTTCTACCGCATGCAGACATGATTCTTTTCAATAATTATGGTTCTAGAGAAGCCAGAGGCCGACCTTCCAACAAATTCGAGGACATGTTTCAGAGCATTTGGTTTTTGCGTTTGAGTTTTTAACATTTTAGTTTTGTTTTTAATTAATTAAACTTGTCAAAAGCTTAATCGAATCCAAACCTAATTTTTGGTAAGTTTTTCAATTTATGAAATTTAAATTTTGATTTTCGTTTTGATTTTTTTTTCTTTTGCCTTTTTTTTAAATTGTTTGAAATAATAAAAAATTTGCAAACTTGTATTACAGATTATGGACCCTTCCTTTAGTTCAAAAGATCTAAACTAACCTATATAAAATATAAAAAAATATTTATCTAAATAAAACTAAAACATAAAATAATATTACATAATAAGACATCAAAATTTAAATACAAATCTACTGAAGATTATTTAAATATATTGTAAACCAAATTATTATGTCCAAATAATAATAAAAAATTCAAACATTTTCTAAATATATACATATATTTCTATAAAAAAACAAAAATCTTACAAAAAAAAGTTTACAATTCTGTTTTTGGTGAAAATCGAATTATGTATTTTAAAAAGTAAATCGAAATTGAATAACTAAAATTAATTTAATTTTGATTTTGAATAATTAAATTTCATTAAAATTTAAATAAAACTACTAATTTGGTTTCAATTCGTATGATTAATCAATTTTAATTGAACGTTGCTTAGTTACCCATTTTTAACTTGTTAACAAGGACCACTTCAAAACTGTTCAAAAGTCTCGATTGTTCTGACAACAATGAAGATGAGATTGGTCATGTAAATTTGATGAACAATCATTTTCTTCAACAACTAAGAATGAGATTAAACACATAAATTTGATAAACAATCATTTTCTTCACTTTATACATACGTCCTAATAAAATCATGAAAACGCTATATTTACTCTGGTAAACAATTAATTACGCGTTTCAGATTTATGGAGGGCGATATAGCTATTAACAAAACAACATTATTGTGATGTTTTAATTAGCTCTTAGATCATATGATTAATTAATAATTTAGTAGGAAAGGTTGAGTTGATGTTTAGCAATATGGAATTGTTTTGATAGGATTTATGATGAGATTATGATCTTTGGATTAATATTTATGATTACATAACTTCTATTTAGACTGATTGTGTGGTTAAAATTCGTTTTATAAAATATCAATGGTGAATATTTGTAGAACAAGTCATTTTTTGGTATTTGAAGAACTCTTCTATAGGTAAATTAACCCATAGAGAGAGATATGTTACTTAAATAAATGCAATAGTACTTAACTCATAGAAGAAAATACATGATATTCCATTATTTTTAAAACTTAAATAGCGAAACATATAACAATAAAATGTCAACGTTTATAGAACAGTAAGGATTTGTCCTTCATGTACACTTATCTTTGTTGAAACGTTTGGTGACTCTTTCATAACCATTGCTGATGTGCGTTCATTTAATGATGAACGTGTCCATTGCTCAGTAATCGGCAATAACCAGTATTGAGTTAAAAGAAAATTATCTCAGAGACAGTTGTTTGTGCGTTTCAAATTTATTAGCGGAGTCTCTTGTGCTGAGTCGCGTGTAGCTTAGAAGTCGAGTCTCCTTAGTCCTTTCTTAAAAGAGATGTACATAAGATGGGTCATTATTTTCTTTCGCTGTATCATTTTTTTTTCATCCAGACAACGAGACGTTTGAAAATCGAAAGTTAGAGATGAAGTGATAAATGATGTTTTTTTAACTCATCATATCATGAGTGTGTCTCACGTTCTTTTTTTTTTTTTTTTAAGAATGGTATTAGACATGAATTGTTGATAGACTAAAAACTGCTCAGTTTTATAATAGACTTAAGAATAAACATGATCCGATCGTAACTCAAAAAAAAAAAATTAATTTTGATCGATATTAAAATTAACTCAAAAATGTTTCATTAGCTGCTATATCAATAAATAACAACAAACAAAAATACAAAAACAGCAAGATGCCATGATGATGGAATGCAATTGGCTATCAAGTAAATTGTGTTTCTGGATTTTTAGCATATATAGATGTAGGATAGGGTTAAGAAAAAAATTTTTGAACAATTAACAACAACTTTATGGGATTAGTTTAAGGTTTAAGGAGGTCAGCTTCTTACTTAAATCCAATCTTAAAGCTAATATTTAGATTTATTTTTTTAATACATTATATAAATATGGAATATGTATTCTTAAAACCGTTTTAAAAGTAAAACTTAATCTTAACTATCCGGAAGCTGATTAGAGACTCATTTGCCAGTAAAAAAGAAAGTGATTTAATATAAATATTATCATTATGAAGTTGATTGTTCGTCATCTAGCAATATTTGAACGTGTCAATATAAAAATTGCAATATTAAAATCTTCTTAAAAACAAAACAAAATCAGATCCATAGCTGATGGCTAACCTGATTAGGGAATCACGTACGAATGAAAGAGAGTAATTGAATTTGAATACTGTCACGTCATGAAGTGGATTGTTTGTCATCTAGAAGTATTTGAAGTGTACTTTGAAACGCCCCTGCCATCACCCATTCTTCCTTGAAATCTCAACTGACCAACTTGATATCAGATCGTTGGCTGGCTTAGCTTGTCCTCATTTCGTTGATATTTTGTGGTTCAGAAAACACTAATTGGACTAAGGTAAATCCATTTCTTGCACCTCACACAATTTCAATGGATCAAAAACATTTAAACGAAATCCAACTATACAATCAATAAAATAAAAGTTTTAAGTTTTTCTTTTTCTCTTGAACAGAAGTTTGCTGAGTTTAAACTTGACGAGTGCATTAATAACATAACCTTTCACGAGGTAAATCATTTGAAGCATCTTAGCTGTAGCTGGTACGTCATGTATGAATGTACGTCAGTTAGGCTAAGGTGACGAATTTTAGCATCCAAGCTAACCAAAAATTTCGTCAGCTTAGATGCTTTTTTTAGAGTGATTGTTTGAAATCTTTAGAGTAAATTATAAATTATTCCTTCTAGTTTTAAAAAATAAATTAATCAGTCTTTTTTCCTAAAATTAATTATTTATTTTTAAAATTTTTAAATTTTCTTACAACTTAATTACGTTTTTCTTTTTTAATTAATTTTGATTTTTTTTATTTTAAGAAATACAAAAAAAATAAGTAAAAAATATGAAACAATTGACAAGAGAAATTTTATAAAATAAAATTAAGCATAGTAAATCTAGTTAAATGATGAGATAAATTAATTTTTAAAATAAGATGGATTAATGAATTTATTTCATAAAACTAGAGGGATTAACTTATACCTTACTCTAGTGATTATGGGATGAGGTATGTCAATCGACTTTGTCCTTCTCTCTTCATCAGTGGCAACAATGGTGTAGAACTGTGGATTAGGCGCAACCGAAACAGACTCGGTACAGTTGTTCGGATGTTCTAATCTGTTGATGAGTCAGTACGAAAAGACTGGGGATGTCATTGGTGAATTGATGTTTTGGTTAGTAGTGCTGATGTTGGAGGTTGGTTAAAGAATTAAAAATTCAGATTCTTTGTGATTTTTTTATTAATACCTATGAAGCGAGAGTCAAAACTTAATTTTATTTAAATTCAATGACACTAAAGGCTTTTTTTTTAATCAATTTTTGATAAATATAGATTTTTACACGAATAAGGTTAACCTATCAATTATGTATTCAGTTAATTTTTCTATTGAAGCATGATTAGAGTTCCAATGATTTTAATTTTTTTCAATAATTATGTAATTAGAGAGAGTTACTTCCATTGTTTTGATGAATAAAAAAATAAAAAATATATATTTTTAGTCTCAATTTGAGCAAATTAGATTCTTGATATTTGGATGTTGAGATATAATGGTCCCCTAATTAAAAATCAAATTTTCTTCCTTTTTTAATTTTGCCAAAAAAAAAAAAAGAAAGAAAAAGGAAAGGATACTATCAAATTTATGTTGTTTTTTTATTTTAAAAAAAAGGGTTAAAATTTTTTAAAAATTATTAAAAATAATTTTTATATGAATATTTTTATTTACCTTGGAAATTTTTCTTTATTTTAAAAGTCAAAAAATAAAAAATTTTGATTTTTTTTTTACTTTTTATTTATTTATGCTGGCTATTTTTTTTTTCAAATTTCTATTTTTGCTATCTATTTTTTTATTTTATATTAAAAATGGAAAGAACATCGTGTAAAGAAATAAATTTTGATGTAGAAAAAAAAAACCCCAAACATGAAAAATCAAAGCTTTCATAAAAAATAAAATAAAAAATCATGCATATGAAAAATTATTCATTTACTACCTCCAAAATGTGCTTCATCATACATCCATCACATTTTTTATTTATAAGACCCATATGCTCGTTATGATTTAGCTAATCAGTTAGTAATGGCAAAAATAAGTAAAATAAAAAAATAAAAAACAAAAATTAATTAAAATTTTTTACTTAAAATAATTTTTTCTGGTCAATAAATATTTGAAAAAAAATAAATAAAAAGGTACCACAGGAACGCCAAATGGACGCTTAGCACAATATAGGAATCAATTACCAAACAATGTTTTTACCGCACAACATAATAATCAAACAATTTTTTACCGTACAACACAACACTAAACAACAAGATTGCTAAGCACCTGCTCTTGCTATAAGGATGCCATCCTGTGCTATCAATTAAGTTTTTTTTTTCCTCTTTGAGTAATTTGGGAATGTGACCTTACATGAAATGTATGTCAGGTATCAAAAATATCAAGACTTGGCTTGAGGTGTGAAAAGAAGAAGAAGAAGAAAGACTTGAGATAAGTTCCCCAACAATAATGCCATTTGTGACATTGTGAGCTTGTCTGGTTTTTGTTGTGTTGTGCTGTAATTACTGTGGTCTGTTGTGAGTATTGTTTTGTGTTGTATAATGAGATTAAAAATACATAAAAACACTTTCATCATTAAAAGCAAAAGTAATAAGTAATACAAGTTAAAAAAAAATTCAAAACATCATATAATTTTTGTTAAGCATTAGTATAAAAACTATGTATTAAAGTCAAATATGCAAAAAATCATATGTTTTGTGATTTAAGGTTCATCGATGTTATTTTTATCTTTGAAATAATATGGTTGTAGCAAGATTCTCACAAAGAGAAATCTCCAAATACACGCAGTCCAACCAATGCTCCTAGCTAGTCCTGACGGTATGCTTGCTCGTTTCTTTCAAAATTATCAGCAGTTTATTAGTTTTGATGTTTGTTCACTTGCTTTGGATATTCTTAATAAACATGCTGATCCTAGTAATATCAATTATACTCATATTGTTTTCACACCAAAAATGGCCTTTTTCTAGTTACCTACCAGTTCAGACCCGTTAGCCTTTGTAATATAGTTACGAAAATTGACACCAAAGTAATAGCTAATAGGTTTAAACTTGTCCTTCCGTCCCTATATATATATGTGTATATATATACATATATATATATATATGTATGTATGTATATATGTATATATATATATATATATATGTATGTATGTATGTATGTATGTATGTATATATGTATGTATGTATGTATATATATATATATATATGTATGTATGTATATTAGAGGGTGCGCCGGGCAATGCTGTAGTGCAACGCAAATTTGAGAGGCCCATTAGCAAGCAACCAAGCTACCATGATGGACCTTCCGTTTAAAAAATGGCTTAATATACCGGAAAATTATAAATCATACACGTTTTAATGATTTTAGTTTGTTTTTTAAAAATTACATAGAAAGATCACCAATTAAGCCTCCATAACAATTTTAGCTAGAGGTATTCACTATTCAATGAAAATCGAATAATCGAACCGAAGCTCGCATTGAAATATCAATTTCGAAGTGATTTTTTTAGAAATTAAGAAAACCCGAACCAAAATAATTTTGGTTTTCGAGTTTAGTTTTTTTTAAAAAAATCGATTAAACAAAAAAAAAAAAAACCAATATATATATAAAGCTAGATCACCATTGATCGTCCGCATCCATTATTCCTAGTCCCAAATTGAAAAACCCCGTCTAACCTGTCTTCCCCAAATCGCAATCCTTAAACCTCCTCCAATCCTCCCGTAAGTGCAAGTGTGTAACCGCAACCCTCCCTCACTTAGCCACCTTTTTCCTCCTCCTCAATCCTTAAGTAGCCCTCAATCATCGGCCACCTCCTCCTTCTTCACGATCAACAATCTCTCTAAGATTTCAAGACGCATCCCTCGGTCCTTTTTTCTTTCAATCTTCTACTCTTTTCCCACTCTCAAGCTTTCAAGAGTCAAGACTTCCATTTTATGGTGAGTTATGTTTACCCAAATAATTATTTAGTGAATCAAAATGCTTCGTTTTTATTTCTTATATTTTTAGTTTTTTGGCATTTGGATGCATTTTGTGAGTACTCGGCGGTTGAAAAATGTAACCATATTGTTAAGATCTAGTGATGCGAGTCTCCGCCTATTGATTTCTTTATAATTGCTTTATATCTAGATCTCCATTCCTAACACTCTACTTAAAAAATAATTAAACTTGTTAAATCGAGAAATTGTATAATTTGATTTGGATTGTGCATTTAATTTGTATACCTTTGAGAGCGAAAGAGAAGGAGCTTTTTGTTGAATCCAGGAGATGACTATCATCTTCTATAGTATTAGTTTTGTTGAATTATTTTTTTATTTAAACTATTGGATTGAATTTGATGAACTTTTATACATATTATTGATTCATGATTTACCGATTTAGTATGAATTTAGGAGTGTTGAATTGTTGCTTTTATATACATTACTATTTTGAGTCTTTAACCCCATACATGTACTCTGCAAGCACTAGCGCTAATAAGGTTCTATATAGTCTAGTAAGATATTGTTAAATAGTTCAACTTGATTTCGAAGTTTTGCTATGATGTTCCTTAAGTTATATGGTTACTTTGTAAGTTTGAATTTTGATAGACAATAACTCGTTATGATCTCCACTACCGTAACTTTTCTACCTCATAATTTATTATCTGTCTCATTGGTTGGATCTCTCTTTCAATCCTTATGATTTAGGTCTCGTGTATGCCCTATCGGTAATTTCAATTTACGTAAGGCTAGGCCAACATTTGCTTGTTGGATATTACTATAATAGTAATCGTGCTTTGTAAAAAAAAAAGTTTCACTCGTAGAATATGGTACATGAACATGGCATTAAGATTCAATTTTTCATAAGCTTGCATAATGATTCATTGTTAGAATATTATTGGCCTTTTTCTTTTTTTGAGAATATGAATGAACAGACTATTTTATGGTTTGTAAAAGCAAGGTCATGTTTTTAAGCTCATCTTTGGCAATGGGCTTGTCCTCCGGTGGAATGTACATTATGTTACAATGTTGATAATAGGTTAGTTATTGTTAGTATGAACTATACCTTCAATTTTGTTGTTTTTACATATCTAATTCCTATTTTGCTAATTTACCTCATCCGATAGTGTTGTTTTGTTTTCTCGGTTGTTAGGGTTACGTAAACTATAACTAATGGTTTGTGAAGAATAATTGGTGGTGATTATTAAGCATTTAACTTTATTAAATCTTATATATTGGTTCGATTTTGGTTTCTTCTTTTTTTTTTTTTTTGAAAATTCAATTAACAAGAAATGGGACCAAATAACCGAACAAACACTCCTAATTCTAGCACCGATCTAATTTTTTGACCAAAAATCCAATCAATGCTAACATGGCAAGTGACTAAGCATGACAACTCGGACTCAATGCGTCACATAAGATTCCATATGGGCATTGACATGGAAAATTAGTTACAAAACTTAAAAGACATGTCATTTCATATATACCCAAACTACAACAAAATCCCCAATCCCCAATTCGGATTAACCCTAACCCTTTGAAATTCATTTTCATTATCTACAACACCTTATTCTTTCAAATTCCTTAATCCTTCTTCTCGCTTTCGATTCCGTAGATCATTCATTTTCCTCCTTTCTTTTTCTCGGATCCTCTTATCTTCTTCTTTCGTCTTTTTTTTTTTTCTAGAATTGAAATGACGGATCCTCTCATATTCCTCTTTTGTCTTCTCTTTCTTTCTTCTTCTTTTGTCTTCTTCTTCTTTCTTCCTAGAATCAAACCCATAAATCCTTCATTCTTCCTCCTTCGTCTTCTCCTTCCTTATTTCTAGAATCGAACTTTATCTTCTTCTTTCTTCATCGTTTTCTTTTTTCTTAATAGAACCAAACCCATAAATTTAAAAAACCCTAACTCCCTAACCCTAGCTCGTATGTCATTTGTTTTCCATTTCAATTTTGCACAACTCACCATCTTTTTTTCCTTCATAATCAATCGAATTCATAGACCATCATTTCCTTTATCTCGAACGAACCCAAAAGACCACCATCTTCTTTCTTCTTACTTTACTTTCTTCTTACTTCTCATCTCTCAAACCAACGGACCTTCCAACCCTATTATGTCATTTTGTGGTAAAACAATTAGCATAGTTCTACAATTGAAAACCCAATCCCTTCTCTCGTCCTTAATCCCTCAAATTTAAAATTCTAAACCCCTAATTCAAAATCCTAAAACACTATCCGTCTAACATCCTTCCATGTTTATTTTAAAGAAAATTCAAATCTATAACCTAAATAAACCAATTATTCATATGGCAAGTGAAATATCGATAGATAGCAGTTTCAATATGGATGAAGCTTCAAAAATATCTTCCTCGAGTTTCAAGATGCCTCTATGCAAGCACAAGATAGAGACAACCATATATATTTCACGAACAAAATCAAACCCAAAAAGAAGTTCCTTTACTCGTCCATATTGGAAGGTATTTTTTTTTAAATGAAAGTTTTATCCCCGCCCATATTGGAAGCTATTATTCTTTAAATTGTTGTTTAATTTTTCAATTGATAATTTTGACTATTGGAAGTGGATTAAAGAAGAGAGCAACGACTATGGAGTCGGGAAGGCGAGTGGTAATTGACATTGAAGAATTAAAGGAAACAATATTGGAGTCGACAGAAATACTTGGAAAAGAGAATTCGAGTTTAATTAGAATTATAGCAAAAAAAGAAAGCAAACAAGAAAAGAGTTGATTGAAGAAACGGATAAGACGGGATCTGAATTTATTGAAATGAAAATTAAAATGCAAAGAATAAGGCTTGGCATAAAGGAGTTAGGAGGGAAAGTGAAAGGTATTGCAAAGTGGTATTTATTGGCAATAATTATAGGTTTTATGTTATTAAGATATATGTTTCTTTCAAATGATCATAATAGAATGTTAGTTTTGACCTAAGTAGGAAGTAAGGCCGGAAGACAATTTGTATATAATATTTTTTGTATTGTTATTGCTTACCTTATTTTAAATAAAAAGTCGACATATTGGTAAATATCGAGTTACCGATATATTATAGCTTAGAAATCAATGTAAATATGTAAAAAATTATCGACACTAATTAGATTATATTTCATATTTGATAGAAAATTAAAGAATCACTTTGTGAAACAAGTAAGGAAAAAACCTAATAGCCTAGGTTAAATTTAGGTTAGGTTCATATTTGTTTTCAAAATCCTAGTAACACTACTTGCGACATTAGTTGTGAGATTATAGGGCAAGGATTCTTCCATTTTGAAAAAGATGGAGCCTTGATAAAAATCAAATCCAAACCATAATAATTGCTCCCGATAATCTTCTCCACATTATATTCTTTAATATTAAAAAAGCTATTCCATTTTAAAGCAATCTATTAGATGACCAAATAAATATCTAGTCTTCTTGCTTGTGCTAATACATTACACTAGTTGCTTCATAATTGTCAACTTTCGTAACTCTAGCTTTACAAAATTATGATTGAAAAATAATATCTTAAAACATCATTTCTAGAATGGTAAAAACAAGTGGTGTTAGGAGATTAGTAACCAAAGGTAAATTCGAGAGTAGAAAACTAGAATATAAAAAGAATCAAAAGTCATTTGCTAGAAACTTGCGAGTGCATGACTTTAGTTTAGAAAAGATGTGAATTTGACCATTTTATGCGGTTAGTTAGTTAGTTAGACATATAAAGAAATAGTATTAAAGTGTTTATTAGTACAAATATCTTTCCGAATCAACTCGAAATGTTCACATGAAAGCAAATAAATAAAATAAATAAAAAATTTTTGTAATTAATATTCCTAACCATACATTTATGATCTCAAACATACAAAGGCATATGCGTATGCATATGGTCCCAACTCGAAATATTCGGACGAAAGCAAAAAAAAAAAGCTGGTTTGTAATTAATATTCCCAACCATACACTTATGGTCCCAATCATACAAAGGCATATGCATGTGTCTATGATCTCAATCCGTAAAAACAAAATCATATGCATATGGTTTCAACAAAGGCAAGTTGGGTAAACATTCATAGCAAATACATATAAAAATATTAATATTCACATGATAGTAAAGAAAATACATGGTGGCCAATAAATACATAGTTTATCATAATATTCTAAAAAACATCACTTATTCACGACTCGTCATAGTGCTTCGAGTGGTTTAAAAAATTAACTTTTGAGTAGATCAAAATATTTACATGTAGGTTGTCATAGTGGTTTAGGAAATTTAATGGGTGAACTCTGGTCTTTTTTTGCATTTTGAACACTTTCGTTGTGTAGTTCATCTAGCATTTTGAATGCATTTAGTCTAGTATTTGATGCCATTGATTGTCTTCTTATAATAGTATTAGCTTTGCCTCCAACAGTCATCTATAACATCAACATTAAGATTAGGTAAATTTATACTATGCAATTTAATCAATAAATCTATTAAAGATTAAAGATTAAGATTAGTTAAAACACACCGAACTCCGTATTTGAATACATGTTACCAGCTTTTTCACTTATGTTCACTTCAAAACTTTTTACTCGTTCTTTTCTCTATATTTTCATTAACTTTTACACCTTGGTCATATATTGAAAAGGTTGAGATAGATTTGGAAGTGGAGAGGAGTCCGGAGGTCGATGGAAGGTGTGGTCCGAAAGTTGATACACTCGCTGGAGGTAGTGCGGGGTATGTTCGGAAATTAATGCACCCATAAATACGGATGTAGGAATTATAGCACATTGCTTTTATAGCATGCTTGCATGGAATACCGGTGACATCTCATTTCTTACAACTACATGAATTCTCTTATAAATTAAAAACATATGTGTCCTCGCCAAATCTAGCTTAAAATCTATCACTAACAACCGATACTATCCTAGATACACATGATTCAAGTTTAATTTTTTTCTAGCTTTCTTCTTATCCTAGGGCATATTTCATCACCGAGAGACTCCATCAATTTACTTTTTATATATATCCTCTTTATCAAATAGGTCTTAATATCTACCTACGTATCTATTAATGGTTTTGCTTTAGCCTTGTAAATAGTTCCATTAAATGCTTTATACATGTTGCTTATGGATATATCACACTTCAAATTGGTCCTAAAGAATGCCTTGCAAAACTTTGGAGGCCCAACATTAACAAAGTCATCAAATGCTACCTCATCCACACCTTTTAAATTATCTAATATGAGATTGTAATCCATCAAATTCGTAGCATTAGCGGTCTTCTAGAATAATTTCTTGTATAGCTCACCATTATGCTTTCTTTTTCAATTTACATAAAAGTGCCTTGAACAGTTTCTATGTTCATAATTCGACATCAACTCAAATACAACATTCTCTAGGCCTTGAAAACATACCAGTGACAATAACTTAGATGAATAAAATAGTAACAAAATTTGAAACTTGTTTTTTATTAGTATATAATAACTCGTTTAAGAATTTTCATCAATGATGCCAAGATCTCTTATAAGCAAGTCCATAAACCATCTTCGGTTTTCTCCATTCTTACTATCAATAACAACCCATACGATGGGAAACATCCGATTATTGGCATCTCTTCCTACTATAATTAGCAAACATCTTCCCAAAAGTGTTTTCAAGAAAGCATCATCAAGATCAAATACTCTCCTACAATTATCTAGAAACCTTTTTCTTAATGTTGAAAAGCCAATATAAAATCTTATAAACTCAAAATTTCCTCCATCTAGAGTTTCAAATTAGAAAGTTCCTTGCATGTCTACCCTCTTCAACTCAAGCATGTAAGATCTTAATGTTTTATAATACTTGATTAAAAAACCTCTTAAAATGTTTAGAGCCACATTTCTAGCCTCATAATGTATAGAAATGTTTATTGTCAATGCACACCTCTCACCGATAACATCCTGTATTTCCTTTATAGCTAGTTAGGATTATTATCAAACTTATGGAGATAGGTTTCGGGTAGCCATTATTTAGTAGCTTGCCTATTTGTCAATGATCTTCCATATTTATGCTCTGGATGCACAATCTTTACTTCAAATGTATGCTTCAACTGCTTTTTACTTGCACACACTCTCCTTTATTCACAAATTTTAACACATCTAGCTTCTATAATGTTTTTTCTACTCTTAACCTAACTGACATTTCTTTAATTTTTAATAGTATATAATTGTACAACCTCTCTAAATTGGTCAGCACTTATGAATTTCATTTCAACCTAGAAACACAAACTCCTTATGGTTACATCTTGGATCATATACCCTAACTCTTTCCTTATTTTTCTTTCTTTTATAGGCAAATATATCATCTTCATCAATTCTAGGAGGGCTTATCTCGTTCATCGCCACTACTACTATCGGATGCACCGACATACAGATCCTTCATTAGGTTGAAGTATATTACATTCAAATCGACCATAATTTCTCCTAAATGTTGGAGTTGGTACTACTAATTCATCATTGAATTGAAGTCTGGAGGCACATTTCCTCCTCATTTTCTTTCTAGTCTCAATTAGCTCTTCATCAATAGAATTTTCAAAATCACCATCACTTGGTGGTTCCTTAATTGTTACGTAATCTTCATCATCATTACTTATATCACCACATAGATTACCACCCAAAGCTCTAACACTTAAAGCATCCTCACTCGTATTATCACCCAAACCACTATCACCCAAAACATCACCACCTATATTATCACTAAAAGCTCGAACACCTAAACCATCCCCACCGTATTACGACCAAACCACTATCACCCAAAGCATCACTACCTACATTATCACTCAAAGTTTCAACACCTAAACCATCCCCACTTGCGTTATCACTCAAACCATCATCACTTAAAGCATCACACAAAGAAAAAAAAATAGGAAGATGATTTGAGATCAAATTGAAAAGGATGTGAAAAATAAGAATCAAATGACATTCAATTAGGGATGTAATTGGATAGAAATAAAAAATCAAAGTTCTTCATTGAGAATTAATCAGCTTTAGAATTAAAACAAATCAAGAGAACATAGATTAAATATTTTTAATTAATGAGCTAATTGAAAAAAATGCAATATACATCAAAATTGACATAAACAAACCAAGGAAGGATCAAAACTTATTTTATTCCAAACCTTAAAAAATCCCTATATAAACACACTCTCACTTCATTTTTTAAGGAGCCACAGTCATCCATCTTCCTCACAAAAACCTTAGCTGAAAAAACGTAGGGCAAAAACTATCCACTCTATCCCAAAAACTCTAGCCACCACTCTTCATCTACCCTACCTAAAAAAAAAAAAAAAAACACAGACCCACTATTCATCCTTCATACAAGAAATTAGAAACCCACCATCTATAAAAAATAAATAATAAATAAAAAAAGCTAATTTCATTCTTCCTTGAAATATCATAACCATTACCCACACCATCTCCTTCATCCATAAAAAAAAATAAAATAAAAAAATAAACACACTCATCGTATCCTAGTTTTGTCTACCAAGTGAAAACCGAGAGAGGAAGATTATATTCTTCATCTTATTGGTCACCACAACCATCCAATCTTTTGTCAAAATCATGCCTTCACAATATCTAACTCATATCAACCAAACCCCCGAACACCAACCACAAGCTCAACCTCACAACCCAATAGCCATTCCTATACTAGCTAACTTGTTAGCCCATTTCCCTCTCCCTATTGTACTAACGCCACCCATTTTTCTTTTCCTCTTCTCTCAACTCAACACTCATACAACCGACCACTACAACTCACAACCACCATAAACGATTGTTGCCATCGCTAGGACTATCAGTCATTCCAACGAAGCCTCCTTCACTGACACCTTCTACTTCCGTTAAAAGACTAATAACTATAGAATTATCATATCAATGAACTAATAGTCATAACAATTGCTTTGTCCGTGGGTGGTTGTGGCATAATAATAACTTTTTGTTATCATTAAGGACAAGTGCTAGCAAATGCTTATAAACTAGTAGGACCTCAATGATCTGTTGCCATGGGAGAAGCACTAGCTTTACTATTTGGTTTTCAACTTGTTACAAATTTAGGCTTTCATAAAATCTTCACCGAATCTAATTGCCTTGTTCTCATTTAGGCTCTATGAAGCAAAGAGCAATCCATAATGAACTTAGTTTGATTATTGATGACATTCTGGTTTTGGCAAAGGCATTGCATGATCGCCAATTTGGTCATGTTCATAAAGCTCTAATAAGGCTACCCATGACCAATTTAACTCCATCATTAAGTGATGAATTAATAGTTCCAAATAACGATCGAATGAATTTGAATATGTTCCTTATCGTTATATGTCGTTATTTTTACACAAATAACAACGTTATCATTATGTAACGCCGTTATTTGTTCAAAAACATGTCATCTCCTATACACTCTAATTATAATAAAATCTCCAATTCAAATTAACCCTAACTCGTATCACCGAGTGCCTTTCTTGAAAGCGAATCTAAAAATCGCAATCTTCTTACTCGAGAGTGTGTTGAACATGGAGGAAACCACCCGGTTCACAAAACATGTCTTTTGGTACTCATTCACCTTAACGACTTGTTTCCAGTAGTTTGCAACTCGGAGAGGCAATTACACTCACAAATATAGACCAAGTTCAAAATATCCTTTTGGAAACATGATCCACAAAACCCACACTTACTTTCAAGAACTTAAGCCCAATCCTCGTGTCTTTTCCAGTAACATGTGACACTTAAGAGACATCTTCACCCGAAGAATGTTGACATGGCATTAATAGAAGAGATCATCTATGCCAAAAAGGCTTTTGTAGCAAGTTTCAAGAGTTCGATAGACCGGAGATTGGTGCATAAGATCTATTCCATGGGAACCTAATGGCATATTTAGTTTAACTGTCATGTTTTATCACCTGCCATGTTAGTTTTATTCGGAATTTAGGTTGAAAAATCAAATATGTGCTGATATTATTATCAAAAACTTAATTGATGACCTTTTTATTCAAAATTAAAAAATCGAGCTAAAATCATTAAAAATATATATATAAAGTTGATGATTTTCTAAAGTATTAAGCCATATATTTATACGGAGGAAGTAGCTTTGCTTATCCATCCCACTGATTTGTACTATGTACTCTCCTCTAGTTCTAATTAATGGTTGTGATTATGACTTACCTTTAACAATTATTTTGTTATTTTTTGTCTTTTAAATAAAATAAATATTTTTTCATCTCGAAAGCATATTTTTAAAATTTTTAAGTATAAGCTAATTTTTAATAAAAAATCATCTCTTGTATATTAAATACTTTTTTTTATAGTTTTGATTACTTTATTTTAAAGTAAAATAGAAAAGGAGGTAGCAAACAGTGTCCCCATATCTTTTCTCCGTTTTGTATTATTAATAAAAATGTTTCGTCATGATTTATTTCTAATATAAAAAGCATTTCTCATCGTTCAAGAGGAAACACATATCTTTTTTAACGTGAATGTTGAAAGCGCACTCATTGTTCCAGGGACCTCTACTAAAGCAAAGTAGCAGGTTCATCCTCACCAACCAAGAAACGATGGGGTCTTATGATCAAAACGAAAAAGCAAAAGGAAAGAAAGAAACCACAGTGCCTTATTTATTATTATTATTATTATTATTATTTTACCATTACATTGGCCTTAATTAATGGGGGGAAAATGATAAAATCTCTTCTCTATTTATTAGCATATCCCTCCACTCTTGGCTATTCCAAATGATTCCTTATTTCTCCATTAAAAAAAAAAAACAGAGAATAAATAAAACGAATGATTTTTCCTTACCTTTAGCAAACAGACATTGTAATGTTGAAAAAAATGGCAAAAAGGGTCAGTTTTATTAAAAAATGACAATATTATTTGCATTTGAATTTTGTTTTCTCACAAAAACATGAAATCTGTTATAAAAATAATTCACATGTCACATATTTTTGTGAGAGAGCGAAACACTACTTGCATCATTTGTTTTCTAAATAAGCTTATATGTTTTTAATTTGATTAATTAAATATTTATATTTTTAATTTTATTTGTTTGAGTACAAATTCTCGTCTTATACTGTTATTTTATTATTTTTATTCATACTAACGTAAAAAAATTATTTTATTTGTAAAATCATCGAATTCATTCAAATTAAAAATACATATGCTTAATTGATTGGATTAAAAATATAAAAAATTTATTTGATAAATTTATAAAAATATGGAGGGCAAGTAAGGGGTTTAGCCAAAAATGACCAAGGGGAGTCGTGAGTAATGATCACATCAGAGTAAAGAATAATAATAATAATAAAACTATGTTGCTGTTAGCTGGTAGAGCGTTCTCAGTCTCATCATCCTCTGCTTACAGAATCTTCAACGCCAGAAGAGCCCCCTTCTCCCTCTTCGGTTCTCGCTTTCAAGTTCGTGCAATGGCCGACTCTGCATCTCAACCTTTCAAGAAAATCCAAATCCAGAGAGACGATACGGTCAGTCAGTCAGCCTTTTTTTTTTAATTGGATTTTGGCAATCTGTCTGTTATTTCATTACAATTTGGCTGGTTATTCTTGTCTTTTTTGTTTGTTTGTTTATTTGGTAATCAGACATTTGATGCTTACGTTGTCGGGAAAGAAGATGCCCCCGGTATTGTTGTTCTTCAAGAGTGGTGGGGTGTCGATTTCGAGATCAAGAACCACGCTGTCAAAATCTCCCAACTTGGCCCTGGATTTAAGGCACTTATTCCAGAGTATGTATCCATAATTTTTTTTTTCACAGTGCAAGTTGAATTCAAGAGATATGTCATTTGCTGCTTTATCTTTTAGTTTGTATCGAGGAAAGGTTGGTTTGGACGTTGCTGAAGCTCAGCATTTGATGGAGGGTCTTGATTGGCAAGGTGCTGTCAAGGATATTCAGGCTTCAGTTAATTGGCTCAAGGCAAATGGTTCAAACAAGGTTAATAATATCATCATCGTCATCCTCCTTTCTACTCTACTTATTGCTACAACTTATCAAAAGTGCCATTTTTAATGCCCACAAAATGTTTGGTTGAATTTTTTGTCAAATTGTTGAATGGTCATGGGGTGTTTGAAAGTATGCTTAAGCGAGATGTGGTCTTGTTCGCTAGTGTTATTAATGGAATTAGGTTTTTTAGGTTGAGAATGTTACATGATAGTGTGGAGTTTCATTTAGTAAACCAATGAAGCAACATTTGTTACTGTTATGTCTTCATGTGCTAATTGAGATGGAGGAGGTCTTTATATGGGGAATGAATAGATGGGCCTGTGTGTCATTAGGAACCAAAGTCGTTGTGACTTCTTTCTTTTAGAGGGGTCGGCATTGATTAGTTTTTACAGAAAATTGGTTGTTTGAATGATGCATCAAAGTTTGTGACGGAGAGGCGATTAAAGAAGTTTGCAGTTGGAAAGCAATGATTTTTTGTCTTGCTAATAATGGTAGAGAGCAACAAGCTTCAGACATGTTTGAGAGGATGTAAGAGGAAGGTTTATGTCCAAATGACATTACTTTTGTTGCTCTACTTACTGCTTGTGATCCTACTGAGCTAGTAGAGATTGGTTTGGAGTTGTTTCAGTCAAGGTTGAGTGAGTTTGGGGTGATAGTAATACTGGAGGCATTATGGGTGCAGTTGATTTTTTGGCAGGGCAAGATTGCTGGTAGAAGCAAGTGAAATTACAAAGAGTATGTCTTTTAAGCCTGATGGTTCAGTTTTGCGGATACTTTTAGGCGCTTGTTAGATTTGTGGAGCAATCAAGATGGGGAATGAAGTTGGGAGGAGGTTACTTCAATTGTAGCCACAGCATTGTGGTGCTATCAAGTATTTATGCTGGGGTGAGGAGATGGGGTCTTGCTACTGATGTGAGGAAATTAATGGTGGAGGATGGATTAGGAAAGTCCCTGCTAATAGTTGATTTATCTTATATGAAAATGTGAGTTTAATTTGCCTCTTCGGTTAAATTGTTGATAGGTTTTAATGATGGCATATTGGGCGATCAGGGACCAATGATGGCAAAGTTGAAAAAATACGATGTTGATCATGGCTCTCATTTAATATCACAGTGGTCGACAGAGAATTTGGCCCAAAACATAACAGTATGGAGGCATATAACTATAGCACATTTAGCTTAGGATTGAGAGTATGTTGAATTGAGTTCAATTGTCTATAGTAAATGATCCCCCAGTATCCTTCCAAAGTTTAGTAGTTTCTGCAACAGGTTGGTTCAAGAAAAGAATACAAGAACTCAGGCTGGTGTCTTGGTGGGCTCTTAAACTTTGGAGGGATACTGGGGGATCGTGCTTGCTTCTTCAGCTGCTCGTGTAGACTTTAGCCAGAGTGACCTAGAGAATCATAACTGGTACTTACACTTGGAAGAAGCCAAAACTAACAATTTTTTTTTTTTTTTTGGTGGAATTGTTAAACATGTAGTCATGCTTATTTAAATCTGCTGTCCATTGGTTTGGTTCTTTCTCAAATCTATTCTACCTTACATTGCTTAAGTGTGAGAAAAGTTGATTGGTTTAGCAAGTTCCAACGATTGAATCAATGTGCTAAACGATATTGTGATTCACTGCAATAGGTTGGAGTAACTGGATTTTGCATGGGGGGTGCTCTCTCTATCGCAAGTTCTGTTTTGGTTCCTGAGGTTGATGCTGTAGTTGCATTCTATGGTGTTCCTTCATCACAACTCGCTGACCCTGCTCAGGCTAAGGCACCTATTCAGGCTCATTTCGGAGAGCTTGATAATTTTGTTGGCTTTTCAGATGTTACGGTATGCCAGTTTCTTTTGACTTTGTCAATGCTACCTGTTATCTGCTGCCTTCTATTTTCGTTGGAGTTATCAACTGGTCCTTGCCTGTGATGTTCTCGATTAAAAGTGCTCATGGTACTTGTTATATTTTCTTGGGATATATAAATTTCCGGCTTTAAATTCTTCCTTAAACGAAAGCTTACCTGCAGGTTCTACGGGTGGGTTGTAATCACTCTTAAACTGTAGCGCTTGAAGGTGCCCTTCAAGTAGTTGAACACGTGTAAATGTGGGAATTGGATCTTGAATTATTTATATTATTATTCTTTTACTGATATCTTAATGAATTTGCTGTTATTAATCTCCATGCTTCGAATTTCAAGAGGAAAACAAAAGCACATCGTCTAAATAAAATTTGAGAAAAAATGCATTTACTGAGATAAACTGAACATGTGAACAATGAGAGCTTGCATCTGACTCCCTATTAACTATTGCAAAGTTTGCATCAGAATGAGGGACTTCATCGTTTGTCTTTCTCAAGTTTTGGCCTTTGTATTCTTTTCCTCGGAGTGCAGTCAGGCCAATACTATATGTTGCCTTAAATCTAACTTAGGCAGTTAAGAAAATTTCATGTCAGCTGAAAAAGGAATTCTATAAACAAGAACTTGGTTGTGTGCCCAATATTGTTGCTTGAAGTATGTTGTCGTACTTCAAAATCAGATCTGTCTGACACATCTGAAGTTAGGTCCAGAGAAAATCTCAAAGCATTTCCTCTGCCTTTTTTCTTGATTTTTTTTTTTTTAAAAAAAAAACTCCTCTGTTCATTTTACAATACTGATCCCAAAGCTATGAACTGTTTGTTTTTTCATCAGGTTCTTCTTCTGATGTCTTCACTGAGCTCAGAGGTTATGCATAAATGTTGAGAAAAAGAGAAAACAGGAAGGATTATCAACATGTTTGACAGTTGAAAATGTAGCATAAAAATGATAACAATGCTTCTTTGAAATGTCGTGTCAACCTATGGATATTGAATGTGCGATGATGGATAGATCATAGATGTATGCATATTATTATAATAATTTTACAGATACATTTGATCAGGAGTGCCTCCAAGAATGAAATATAAATTTACTCATGCTGTTAATATTTTTGATATTTTTAGGCTGCCAAGGCTCTGGAGGAAAAGCTGAAAGCATCAGGAATTCCATACGAGGTACATATTTATCCAGGTAATGCACATGCTTTCATGAACAGGTCCCCAGAAGGTGTGAAGAGGAGGAAGGACATGGGAATGCCCGACGAGGATGAAGCTTCTGCAGAGCTGGCTTGGTCCCGATTCAAAACATGGATGACTCGTTACTTATCTTCATAAATGAGTGGTCAGTTTGATATATCCATCTTGGCGTCTTGCTTGCTAGCTTAAATAGCAAGCATGGCATGTTGCCTAGGCGTAAGTTGGAAGACCTGGTATAAATTATATGCGTGTTCCCCTCCTGTGCAAGTCTGATGAATGATTGCACAAGTGATGCTTGTAAAGTGATCGAGTTTGTTTTTAATAACTGGTGTTGTGGTTTGGCATGTCATCTTTTGTTTTGCTGTGGTTACCCTCTTTGTTTCTGGCCTGGAATTTAGTTTCATCGAGTTCTTTGTTCCTTGATAAATCGTTCTCTCAAAACTTTACTCAAGAGTATGCACCATGCAGCAATACCACTTAGCCTCTCTGGTTATAAACTCTCACCATAAAATCCCAGAGAACATGCAGTGTATAAATTTTGTTTGTCTGACGATTGATTGTCTTCATCTAGCTCAAATACGTAGATAAATATATAGCATAGATAACCTAAGTGACTCTTGTTCTTTAAGTTTTTGGACCCAACTCTTGCCTGAATGAATAGAAAAGAGGGGGAAACATATCGATCTGAATGTTTTTCCTTTTTTCTTCTTATTGCTTATTTTCATAGGACAGAGCTTTATGGGGAGTAAAACACAATTGTTTTCATTGTGCTTTTTCTTCTTTTTTGTGTGTAAATTTTTTTATTGGATTTTTTAATTGATGTTAAAAACAGTTTTCAAGAACTCGGAAAATGTTTCTTTTTTTTTTTTTTTTAATCAAAAAAGTGATATGGATTGATGAAATGATAAGAATCGATCAGTTACAAGAAAGGGTGTTTCGGGTATTCGGTTTCTAAAGAATGATTTCCAGAGATTTCTAGTAACAGGGAAGCTTTTGCCTCTTAGTCAAAGAATATTTTTCTGAAGAGTAGAAAAGGGGAAAAGAACTTTGACATTAGGAATTAAACATTCAGAAAGTGTTATTGCCATGAGATGGCCATCAAACCAGAAGATGTTTTTTCTATGGAATGACAAATCATGGGCCAACTTTCATGCTGTACTGAGTTTCAAGACAACCTTTTATGGCCGTTTCAGGCATCAAATTTCATTTCACAGAATTGAACAGGCATCGTTGCTGGACTTGATCAACGGTTGGACTGAATAAATCGTGTGAAAATACCAAGGCACCTGGATTGGATGAGCTCTGACCATTGAAATTGCCTTCCTGTTTGGACCCAAATATTCCAACCATTTAGAGCCTTTGATAATTTGCTACAAAGTCAAAGTTTACTTGACTAGACTAATGGATTGGGAAAATAATTAGGAAAATTGAGGTTGATTTTGGGTGACTGATGATTTGCATGCCATTAAAATCTCTAATGGCTCCCCAAGCTTGAAACGAGTAATGCTATTTTTATATTACTGTTTTTATATGATTCACTTATCGAAAAACTATCAATTATTAAATGGTTAGCGAGTGAATTTTGTTAATAATTTTTATAAATTTAACGGTTGATGTTTTCTTAAAAGTAAATTTTATAAGACAATTATATAGGAAGAGTGAAATAGATATTTAACAATGGCTGTTGGGGGTAACATTGGGGCAAAAAAATCATCGCTTTGTTTACTTTGCTACTTATATTTCAATTCTTTTAATAATCATTTACATGGTTTTCAAAAGATTCAAAAGATACCCATTATTGTTAAATAGCTAAATAACAGCTGACGAAAGCACTGCTTTGCTAAGCTATTTTATGGATCCACAATTTTACAAATGTTTAGAGTTGATGTTGAGAAAATTTAGATTAAAGTGATATGAAACAATATAAAATCTAAATGAACTAAAATATAGATTGATTTGGCTTTATATTACGTGCTCTGTATTTATGGTAGTTGAATGTTTAACAAGTTTATATGTTATGACTTATGTGCGGTGATGACACAAGTGATTCATGAAAAAATATTTCACATTAGTTAAGAAATATGATTAATCTTTTTATAAATTAAAAAAAAGTATTTAAATATAAGAAAGAATCCATGACCTAATAACGAGATTTTTGAATTAAAAATGGTATTTGTTTATGAATACAACTTCTCATGTCCATAAGCCCGTGAAGAGGCCTGCGCACTTTTCGATACAAATCTTCCTTACAAATGGATATAACAGGCCTTTGTGGAGCCAATAATTTGTCAGGAAGAGTTTGAGGAGATAGTATTATTAACTGTCAAGGTTGATACACCTATGGGATAGTGTAGAGTTAGTTGAATTCTTGAATGAATAGCGATGTCCATGCATGACTCATGCATGGAGTAAGTAAGATGATGCTCGGCAAAATTGTTAGGGAAGGATAAATGTAGACTCTTAGATGAGCAGAGACTCTTGATGACAACATAATACTCAACTTGTGGAGTTGTGTTTGAAATGTTAAAAATACGTGCTTTCGTTAAAAGAATAGTGGACAGACTTGCATGTGACAAGAAGATTGTTAAGATATATGCATATATTCACCTAAAAACTAAAACACTTGGGATAACTACTGTTCATTTGAACAGTAATCATCTCAGATATTCACTATCTAAAATAATGAATTGAACAGTATTTCACTATTCATTACCACATAGAATTAGTATTATTATTGTTCATTTATACAGTACTTACTGTTCATAACCTAAAAATTTCAGGTTGTTTCATTTTAATTACTAAAAATTTTAATCCCTTAACCGATTCACAAATGCATTTTTTTTTCATTGGTTTTTTCCTTTGGTTTTCTTTTTTCATCAATTTATGTTCTTTTTTTATTTAATTGAGTGTTAAAAATTAAAAAAACCATTCGTAACTTTTTTTTACACAAAGTGATAGTTATATAATATATCTTTTTATATTTTAAAATTAACATATACTTCAACTTATATTATTGTTATAATTTAAATTTTATTTTTTGAATTCATCATTTTTTTATGAAAATTCTTATCCAATTAATATTTTTTTATATGAAATTTTATTTACTAATACTATATAATTTATTTTTCTTTATATTTGAATTTTAGAATAAATTTTTAAAATATGATTTTTTTTTAAAAAAAATGATAGTTGCATATATATATACGATTATTTTATTCAAAAAGGTTAAAAGTGTATTTCAAATAATTCGTCTCAATTCAATAGGTATGACCAAGATGTATAAAAAAATTATTAACTTGTTTATTTTATTAAAAAATAACTATACATCTTTCAACATAATACAAATTATTTACTATAAATATTTTTTTAACATTATAGAACCAATTTATTTGGAATGAAATAATTAAAATAATTTTTTAAAGGAACCAACTAATTATTCAAATACTGTTTTTTGTGCTAATTTTATTGATTATTTTGTAAATAAATATATATAGATCAAATGCATATACTTGGAAAAAAAATAATATTCTCACCAACATTAAATAAGAATAAAATTTTATTTTTTCATTGGTTAATTTTTATACAAGTCTATAAATTAATTGTAACTTTATTTTTTGGATAAATTCTTATAAAAAATATAATTTTAAAGTATTTGTTTTTGAATTCTTGATTAATATTTTAGGTTTAAATTATTATAAGTTTTTATTTAAGAATCCATAAATAAAAAAGAATAAATCAAGTTTTTTGAAGAAGAAGTTTTATGAAAAATACACAAAAAAAAGTAATAATTAAACAAAAAATTAATGAAATAATTATAATATTTTGAAATGATTTTTTTCTATTTACTTGTAGCGTTGCGTGGATAATTTCAAAAATTAATCTTTTCATCAACATTAAATAAGATTTTTTTATTTTTTTATTTTTATAAAAGTCTATCAACTAATTATAACTTTATTTTTAAACTATAATATTGTGAAAATTATATTTTTAAAGTTTTTTTTTCAATTCTTGATTAAATATTTTAGTTAAAATTATTATAATTTTTAATTTTAAAATCAATCCATAAAAAATAATAATTTATGTTTTTTAAATAAAAAATCTAAAAAAATATTAGAAAAAAATTAATTAAATAAAATATTATAATTGAAAATTTTTAAAATTTTAAAATAATTTTATTTCATCGAACCTACCGTGTAACGTGAGCAATCGGGCTAATAATATCTAAGCCCTTTGAATTGAAATTGATGTCCCTTTTTATAGATAAGTCCTCGTGTACACACAATTCTACAGAAAAACCGAGACTCCATGATGTAGATTTACGTACATGATTTTCACACAAATCCAAATGCATGGAAAGGAGATACAGCTCGTACAGGAAATGTTGAAAAACATTTAAAAGATTTATTTGAAACCAAAGCACTTTCTAAACAACGAAAAGACTGGACTTGTCCGTTGCCTAACTCTCTTGGACCTAGGCAGGAGACTACGGTATACATATGAAGTTTATGTCAAGTTATTGTCGGACTCGCTGGTCTTAACCACTTCTTTGATTGGATACGTCAGGCAAACCCACCTCGATCAAGGAAGAAATTTTTACAATAAATGTGAAACATAAGACATTTGGTTAGAAGATGAGGGACCTTTTTCATTTCTTTTCTTCTCCTTAGTTCTTTAACACTCCAGCTGGTAATTAATGTCAAGCAGACAGCCTTTAAGAAAAAGATGGATGTGTGCAAAATGTTCGAATGGAGAAATTTTTATCACAAATGTTGAAGAATAATATAAATCATATCTTGGAGCTTTACTTAATAGCATGTTCCTTTAATATGATATCAAAGTCTTGATGACTAAACGATCACGAGTTTGAATCTTACCATCTCATTTTTTTCTTTGATTAATTAAGCATAAAGTATCTTAAGTTTTTAGATGAAATGATACTTTAACAAAGTAAAGTAATGCATTGGACAACATACCAACTTTATCAAAATTGGTCCAGATTCGCCGTCTGCTTCAAATTAAAACAAAATTGACCACGTATTTAGAAGAAAATTTTGGAGGGGTTCTCAGTTATGGTAGCAACTACCTAGACTACGAGATGGTTGGTCAGGATCAAGGAGAGGCAGAACGAAAGATAAATT